AGCCCACAGTGTAATAATGTAAATGTGATGGGACTTTTTAACAATACTCAGAGAGACGTAAGCGTAGTCATGGACATCGTTCGTACAATAAACCTGCAATACACGACGTCTCTTTTGATTCATTACTACCTTATGTAAATCAACAGTTAGGTCTACATCATATTCGAACCAAACTTTACTCTGTCCCTTTGAAACTTTTAAATAGTCTTCTTGAAAAGACCAAGGAACATCCAAATTTAGATTCCTCGACACCTGAATATAGGCTCGGTTCTGTGATTATGGATATTGCACATCATAGGCTTTTTAAACCCGCACGTTTCACGGAAGAAAATGCAGCTAAAACAATCCGTCTTTTCCTTAAACTTCAATATGCCAATAAAGGAATTGACGCGGTAAATATTAGTAATATTCTTAATCACAAAAGGGTCCAGTCTTATATTCCACCATATTTCAAGTTAAAGACTACGCCTTGTATTTCCTACAAATATACATCGACCATTGCTTCCAAACTTTTCAATTACAAAAATACTTTACATGGCCTGGATATCGACTATCTGAAAAATAATCCCCTTTCGTGTTCATGTTCTTCTTCGCCCTATAACTATAGTCCTGCTGGACACGTTATTACAGGTGACGTAAATATAGTTCGTAATGAGGACCTTAGATCACTTACTTTAAAAGGTGCTAAATATAGGGAATCCTGATCCTTCAACTTGCGTCGGAATTTCATAAATATTATGGATTCTGTTGAAAATTACGCCAGACGATGGGCTAGATATGAAAAAGAAGACATTGACACCTTGTCAGAATGGATTAAATGTATCAGATCCATGTTAAAGTCACGTATTAAAAGATTGAGGGGCAAAATGAAAACCATCTATCCTTCTGTGTTCAATAAACCAGAAGTGAAAAAAGAATTAGATAGATTACACGATCAGTACGTACTGGTTCCTGCCGACAAAGCAGGTAACAACATTGTCTTCGTTTGTAAGGCTCATTATATTAATTGCATTTTAGAAGAACTTGGATTTAATTCTACGAGTGGTAATCCTACTTATACATATACTACTCTTTCTAAGGAAGAAATCCTTCAAAATCACCTGTCAGTTTTGAATACTTTTAATATTCCACAGAGCCAAAATGAATTTGAACTACCTTATATATATTGGATTCCGAAACTTCATAAGAATCCTTACAAACAAAGATACATTGCAGGTTCCAGTAAATGTTCAACCAAGCCTCTTTCGTTACTTCTCACTAAAATATTGACAGTAGTGAAGGAAAAACTTCAAGAGTACTGTACAACTATATATTCAAGAAGTGGTGTAAATCAGATGTGGATATTTAAAAATTCTAAAGAACTTTTGGACAATTTGAAATCACAAGACTTTACAAAAATCAACAGCATAAAAACTTACGACTTTTCAACTTTATACACAACAATTCCGCACGACAAATTAAAATCCAGGCTTTTTGATATCATTGACAGCTGCTTCTTCAACAAAAATGGAACTCGTAAGTTTACTTACCTCGTCATTGGTCATTTGAAAAATTATTTTGTTAAAACAGATTCTGATTGTACACATAAGTACTCTGAAGTTGACATCAAGAAGATGCTTGAGTTTCTGATTGACAATATCTATGTGGTTTTTGGAGACCAGGTATTCCAACAATCTATTGGAATTCCCATGGGTACAAATTGCGCTCCGTTATTAGCAGATTTATTTTTATATTCATATGAAGCAGAATTTATGCAAAATCTTTGCGTGAAAAGAAAAAAACACTTGCTGTGGCCTTCAACTCGACATTTAGATATATCGACGACGTATTGTCAATTAATAATGATAATTTCCATTCCTACGTCGACACGATATATCCTGGTGAGCTTGAGATAAAAGATACCACAGAGTCCAACACATCTGCTTCATACTTGGATATTTTACTTGAAAAAGACACAAATGGTAATCTAACAACCAAGCTATATGATAAACGTGATGACTTTAACTTTTCTATCGTCAACTTCCCTTACTTATGCATCACCTGCATACGAAGTATTTATATCTCAGTTGATTCGATACGCAAGAGCATGCTCTACGTATGACAATTTCTTAAACGAGGTAAATTATTGACAAGCAAGTTGATGAAACAAGAATATCAACAGTCTCGTTTAAAGTCATCATTTCGTAAATTCTATGGTCGATACAATGACCTTGTCAGCAAATACAATTTATCATTGAATGAAATGCTGACTGACGTTTTTCATACCAATTGTTAGTCCATTATTTATACACTGAATTGACTACGGATTTTTTCCGTTATTTCCTGATTATGACAATGAGCACACGGCGGGTGTGACCGGTCAGCAGGGGATGCTCACTCCTCCATGGCACCTGATCCCACCTCTATGTTTCGGAGGTCCGTGTTTGCTCTGCTCTTGTTTTGTATATTTGTTTAATGGACGTTGAGATTGAATACTGTTCGTTATTTCCATATCCTTATTGTTTGTATTAATACTAGATTTGTTTACGAAATATTCCGTCTTTTTGTTTAATATATAGGACTCATGAAGAACGTGTCCAGTCAACACGGGATGCTTACTTGTTTAAGACACTTGATTCCACCCTTGAATTTCCAGGTGATACGTGTTTTATGCCCATTCACATATTTGCAAAATTTACATTATTTTTTAAAATTGATCACTGTTCGATATCTTTGATCATCTTATTTCTTTATCATCTCCGATTTAGTGGAGACGAAAACTTAAAGACTTCACTAAATGCCAACTCGATTCTTTAAACTATTTCTAAAGAATTCAATTCATTCTGTCAAAGTGTTCAGGTCTTCCCATTCATAAATCGTAGAACTTCGGCAAAATATTAAAAAAAGCCTTAATAAGACTTAATTTCTGAACAAGATGTCATGAGACGAGTGTCCAGACAACGGGAGATGCTTACTTCTTCCTGGCACCTGATTCCACCTGTGGAATTTCCAGATGATACGCGTTTTACTCCCTGTTCACATATTTTTAACATAAAAACATAAAAAAATTCGCTTATTGCCTTCTTACCGTCCATCTCTTTAATATATTTCTAAAGCATTCAATCCATTCTATCAAAGTGTTCAGCCCTCCCCATTTATAATTCATAAAACTTCTGCAAAATATGAAACAAAATTTTTAACTTAAATTTCTGAATAAAATGTAATTAGATGGATGTATTTTCAAGTATGAGCATGTTGTCCATCATAATCCAACTCCTAAGTCTTGGATGAATCGTGCATCCAAAATAGAACAATTATGGGCAATTCTCTTCATCATTGGTAATTTGTTAAACCACCGTAAGTAACTGCAATATTTAATTAATCGTTGTTAAGATATTCAACTCTTTCTTAAACTGTTATTCGGCAATCATACATACATGGAAGATTATGATAAATACTAAAATGATAAGTCGCATATGGTGTTATGGTGTTGTGGTTAGAGCGTTTTCTATAGAGTCGCGGGGTAAGGAGTTGATCCTTTCTTCACAAGTTCGAATTCCAGTTGGCTTTTGAGAATGTGAGCCTTTCGTTACCTTCACATTTCATTTAAAATAGGAGGAAGAAGAAGAGCATCCAGGAAGACTTTTATTTTAAGTGGTCAATATTTAGGTATTATAAAGGATTTGTAATGAATATAACTTTTTAAACATTTATGCATAAACGTTTTACAAAAAAGTTATCGAACAATTTTATTTTCATGCCTCAAATACATGATTCTATTGGTTGATAGAATTTGATCACTGACGTGACCCTCAATGGGATGTTGTTAGATGTTAGTGTAGTGAGTATGCGAGCGGATCTAACATCTAATTTTAATTAGATTGTATAAAATATGTGAAAGCATCAACAAAATTTATTCATTAGTATTGGATGAGTCGGATTAGGGAAAGGTGCCCTTCAATACTATTAAAAGAATTGCAGTGTTCAAGTTTTGCTATGTGTGCCCGATCATAAAGTAAAATAGAGTGTGCACTATTTCACAATATCAGAAAAGTTCTGTAAAATTCTTTTTTAAAAATCATTCAGTGTTATAAGAGGAGCTGTAGAAAAGAGATGGGTTCCCAAAAAGCGTAACAAACGGGCAGATAGACAGAGGTACAGACAGACGGATACCCTACTACTTTTCAAGCAGTTTTTTAATAATACTTTTAAAAAGAAATATGCTATGAAATTCATCCTTAGCAATGAATTGTGAGTAGAAGTTGAATTTCTAGACGTAAAATTAAATCAAACATCTTAAATTCAGTTTAAAAAATTAGTCTTTAAAGCAAAGAAGATGTTGTAACAAGTTTTGCCTGTTGGCTTCACAACATTGTGTTTATATAGTCTTTCTAATTCTTATATCATCTTCCATTTATCATCTGAGATATTAGCGTCAAATATGCAGAATATGATACCATTCACACATTATGAGTGGTATTTACCAATCAAAAATATTAAGAAAAGATTTTTAAATTACTAGTATTCTATCATTTAAACAAAAATAAATCATTTTTTATGTTTAGTGTTATTTATAGTTTTTATCATAAAAGTCCAGTCAACACACATATTGAATTTTTATACTGTAATTCTGTGAATCTGTAAATTTCATTCCAAATATTATTGAACTATGTTCATTTTATCAATGCAAAAGCTCATTTGTTGGTTAGTCAGATAAAAAATAAAGCAGTTCGCTGTCTCACGTGACCTTTTCACAGACTATGGTGATTCCTATTTTATTAGTGCTTTACTTATTAGAAAAATTTATAGATTAATATTATAATTCTGATAATTGTAGCAGTCTGTATCTGATTAAATGGAATTTGTTTGAGTGAGTTTTGGTAAGCGTAAAAAGCAGCCTTGAAGTTCCCTGTCATGTAGTAACAAAATCCTAAGATATGCCATGAAATGTCTCCAAGCACGAAACCTTCAATAAAGTTATTTTGAATTCTGTTCCAAAAGTCATTCAAAGCTGTTTGTACTCTTGTTAAATCAACATGAATGTAGCACAAAATTTCTAGCATGTGTAGTATCACAAAAGGTGCTATCAGTAATTCATTGATATAACCGAAATTGTTGGAAACGATGATTGCTTCTGCCATGCCTTCTCTCATCTTTGTAGACCAAGATTTTCCTCCTACAACCTGAGTATACTTCTCTCTGTCCCCAGATATAGGGTCTGGTATATGTATCACATGTGGCTGTGATAACTTGACCTTTGTCATCTCTATAATAGATAAAGCCTCTGTGTAATTGCATGTCCTGTAATAATATATTGCTAAATACAATGCATCAGAAATACAACCAATCTTTGCTACTAATTTGAGCATGTTACACGAAATCTTGTCAGTAATGTACCTCTGCTTGTTGCCACCTCTGTCAGTGTACTTGTTGTGTAATATAAAAGCATTGGTTAAAAGAATATGGCATGTATGAAACTGCAATGTGGCAACATAGTATTGTGTCAAAGGTAACTTTATAAGCTTTTCAACGGTGTGTAAGTTTGGAGATTTTAGACAAATATTAATATATATCTCTCTTGATATTGACTGATCAAATGTAAACTCAGGGATCATCATGTGCTCATCTATACTGACGGTCAGCCGAGGATTATAAAGTACATTTAAGACATACGCCCTGATTAAGGAACAATGCAACAGACATGACACAACGCCTCTCTCATACAATGTATACAGTCTAAGAAATAAAACCGTTTGAGAATCCCCATGGATTTTAGATAGAAACATGTTGTTTTCTGGGATGAAAAAGTTCGGACATACCCCTTCATACACCCATTTAAAAATAAGTTTAAAGCAAATCCAGAAACCCTGCAGGATATTTTGGGGACTCCAGTGAGATAGTGTGTTTTGTTGAATCGCCCAGAAAAAGGCTGTCTTCATATGATAAGAACACAGTATTTTATCTTCACTGTCTAAGCCATTATTAATTACATCATTTAGGAACAGCTTCAGTAAACCATAAATTAAAAACTGACAGTGGTTCATTGAATACACAAGTTCTTTTTCTGCCAGAGAGAAAGATATCCTCCATTCATTATCTACATGATTTCCAAGACTGTGTCCAATTGCAACAAAGTGGCACCCTTTTTTGACAATATCGCAAACCACATGAGGTTTGGGCCATGTCCGACATCTGCTTACCCATGAGGAGGCTGACGGAGGCCAGGATCTGCTCTGAAAGACGTTGGCCTCATCAACTTCAATAATTCCTTTGAAATTCCCACTTTTGCAGGGACCATGGATGATAGGATTTGTAATAAAATATGAAGGCATGTTATGTTTATATTTTGAGCTAGATAAATAAAGTTTATTCTTCATCACTACACATGAGGACAGAATAACTTTTGCCATTTTATTATTCGGAAGCCATAACAAAGTGAATCCTGGCGGGCTCTCAGAATTGTCTGAAACAATCAATATTTGATTTTGTTCATTGTAATACTGTAACAGAGATTCGTCCCAGATCACTTGGTAATTATGATGCCAGTACATATAGTCTTTATCAGATCCCCATAATCTAAATCCTTCTCTGAAACTTCCACTTAACATCTCGATAACGCCCTTTTTTGTATTTTCTTCATTATTTATCATCTCTTGGATGTCTGCAACATCCCTCCTCATGGTCACTAGTTCTGATGTTCCCACTATTTTACAGAGTCCGACAAACACAGACTCTGATAAACGTTCCAAACATTTCTCACTAAAACAAAAATAAGGTTTATAATTTTTATTACTCAAAATTGAATTATATTAGGAAAATGTACTCTTTATGAAATATACACTAAAGTACGGATAAATTGATTGGATAATTATAGGAAAAAATACCTATTCCATAAAATATACTTACATTGTATTTCTTTCTGGGTACGGAGAAGAGTAGCAAGCCATGTGTACTTGATATTTTCATGTGATCCTCTATGCACGGAAATATTTTACCAAATGAAGCTTACATTTCAACCAGCAGTACTTAAATATACATTAGCTGGGATATGTATACTACATTTGTGCTGAATTAAATCAAGCAATTTTTTTTTCAAGTTTTCTTCGTATTTCTTGCTTAATTTAACCATTCCTTTAATGACAGCAAGTTTTATCAAATCACACGAAAAACTATCTTTTGAGATAAGTGATATATTTAGTGAATTAAAATTATGATTTTTACTGTTCATGGTTCAGATCTTCTATCAAGAAAGTCACAGTAGAGTCTTCAGAATTAAAACTTTAGCTTGTTTGTTTTCTAAATACCAAACAGTCGCCCCCGTGGCGCAGTGGTTAGAGCGAGTGTTCTAGAGTGCGAAGTAAGGAGTTGATCCTTACGTTGCGGGTTCGAATCCCACTGAGGGAAGTGGTAACTAAAGCTCGAGTAAGCTACTGTCAACTATAGAAAGGTATTGTTAATGCTAGTAAGATGTTATATTTAGCTGTACTGTTCAGAATACGATCAAATAAATATAACCATATGATTAATAATTGTAGATTAATGTGTATCTTTCACTGGTATAATTCTATCGTTATTGGCTCTCTTGAGATATCTTTCAGATTAATATATTGTTTTATTATTTATAATTATGTAGCAATCCATTAAAATGATAAGTAATTTGTTTACTGAAGTAAACTTCGTGAAAGAAAAAAAATGATTATACGAGATAGCAATTATCATGATACTGGACACAACATAGAAACCTAAGCTACATTTTATCATTATAGGTTTCATATCATTAGTAGTTTTGTAGATTACCAAATTTTTCAACTAACTAGTTCATTGCGAGAAATGATATATGGAAATAACGAACAATATTCAAACTAAAAAGTCTACTAAACAATACAAATCAGGAGCAGAACAAACACGGACCTCTGAAACATCAGAGGTAAGATCAGGTGCTATGGAGGAGTGAGCATTCCCTGCCGACCGGTCACACCTGCCGAGTGCTTCTTGTCATGATCGGGAAAAAGGAAACAACCCGTCTTTTTCTAGTAAAATATCCAAATATTAAACAGAGTGTCAGCTTCTGTCTTTAATTCAAGCTCACACGGATATTTGGTATCGACATAAGAATGTCGTTAAAAGTTATAAAGTATTTAAAAGAGGGTTGATTTTAGGAGAGTGTTGGTCATTGTATTTAATTTTTCATAATTGGATATTTAACTTGAAAAGATGTTTATGGTAGTCTTACAACCAAGCTTTATTTGTTGAATATGAACAAAAGTTATAGAATTATAGAATGATTAATTTTGACTTCTGTAACTTAAATAAAACGAAGATTAAATTATAAAAAAAAAACTATGTTAGAAGGGGTTAAACTATGTAAGAAGGGGTTGTATGAGTGTCTCTCTCTCTCTCTCTCTCTCTCTCTCTCTCTCTCTCTCTCTCTCTCTCTCTCTCTCTCTCTCTCTCTCTCTCTCTCTGGTATTGCTTTTTACACACTTTACAAGAAAAGAAAAACTTAATATTAAAATAATTTTTTTTTAAAAATTACTTACACTGAAAGGATTTTAAAAACATAAAGTATTAAATACTAGTCTATAAAAATAATGTTTGCTGTTACGAGAAATACGCTTGGGAATTATTGTATTGATTTCGTGTTTCTGCTGACGATTTTCGGATCTACAATCAGAATAATTCAAGATGAACAAAATAAATGCATTTTAATAGGGAAAATAAATAATTGTGCTTGGATCGTACACTAGTGTACATGCTAAAACCATGAACATATAGACAGCTCGGATAATACTAAATACGGTGTATGTGACACGAATGTAGTTCGACGCCATTTCGTCTTCCGTGTGTTACATGAGTACATGCTATTAAATTATTCATTTAAAATTAAATTCATAATTTTGATTTTGTGACGTGAATGAATAATTTTACTAAAAATAAACTTCTAAACACAGTTAATTCAAATAAAATCCATTCATTTTTTTTACCGATATATAACCACGTAGTTTGGGTCAAAATATATATATATATATGCCGATGATCGGGAAAGAGGGAATGTTGGCAGGGAAAGTGAGTCGCGTCGTTGGCCGGAAGTAGTAAAAGCCGTATTCCTAGGACTCTTCCCGACTGCACATTTAAAAGTCCAAAGTAACGAGTAATCTGGTTTCCGAGTTTATTAATAAGTGCATGTAATTAAATGATGGACAACAATCTTAACATTCAAGAAATACAAGCGGGGAACACAGACGGAAGTGGCCAGTAATGCGTCGGGCCTCCGAACTGACAAATACAATTTAGATACTGATATATAAAAGAATTCTTTGGAACAATTAGCAAATTGAGTGACAAAATGACATGTGTTGAGTAAATTACAATCTGTGAAAAGTTTTGATAAGATGGACATGAAAGATCAATCGAATTATTACACATTTGTTTTATAAGGTATTAGATATTAGTGACGGTTAACACTCTGTCTCTTTGTAGTTCTCAACAATTGTCCATATAGTGTCACTAGACGTAATTAAGTAAAAATTGGGAGCTTCATAGTCCAACAATAAATAAAGATTTAGAAATAAGTTCAAGGAAAATAACAAAAGAAACATATTAAAGTATGGTAGTGTTAGATAAACGGCATCCTACTAGCTTGGGCTACTGGGTTAATCCTTTAGCTCAATTGGTAGAGCTCTGGACTGGCAAGTCAGAGCCCTGGGTTCAATACTCGGCAGAGGCACAAAATTGTCTCTGTTACAAAAGTTCAAAAAAATAAAAGTCCAAAAGAAGTATAGTAAAAAAAGGTCAATTCTGCACGGTTATAGATATCTAATCGCAATATATCATGTGTGCTTTTCAAAGCCCAATGTATGGTAGAATAAAAACGATTATTATATTTATAAACCAAAGTCATAAATTGTCATCAAAATGAATTATCAAATTTTTATCAGAAACAAACGATTTTGTCTGTTATACTATTTACACGGTGCAGCAGAGGAGGATTTTCTGGACACGCTGTGCGACACGGAGAGAAGTTTACTGGACACGGTTCGACACGGAGGGCATTAGCTGAGACTTTTCTAGACACGGTGAGGCATGGTGTGCCTACCTGTATATTTCAAAACAACACACACCTTGCTAACCGTGTACAAGGTGTAACACAGAGCATTTCACACGGTGTTTTTTCCACCGTGCGATGGGGTTAACTCGTCGCCTATACTGTATGTATATTATCACCTTAAAACACAAAATTTAACTGTTTTCTCATTTATTTCGATTCTTCTGTTGTCTGTCTTTTGTTACTACATTTTTTTGTTGGTTTGATATTTTCAGATGTCTGTACGTACAATGCTGAATTGTGTTTTCGTCTACAGTTTACTGCTATACGGCTGATGGAAGTTATAAAATGAAGCAAAATCTCTGGCCTAGTCATAATTTTTTCGGGAACCGATCAGAGGCATCCATCACATTTCATTAGACTTGTTCATGTAGGTGTCTTCTAGCTATTCCCACTTTTTAAAAATCTCAATTCCACCTATTCCCACTTGCAAATAACAGTAGATGTATGGATTTAACTGTATTTTGTACATTTAAGACAGAAAATAATGAATACATCTATGAGAAAATATGATTTATTTAGGATTTTTGAAATAATAAAATGATCTTACAAGAAACAGCAACTTAATACCTAGATTTTAGAACATAGTTAATTATTTGTTTATACATAATTCCACCTACTCCCACGTGAAATTTCACCTTTTTTACCTGATTTTCAGAAAGTGGGAATAGCTTGCATAAATACCAATATTTGCCTGTCTCTGTACCAGTGCTCGGTATTGTGCTCGCCTCTGGGCTGACTCGGGGAATACTGTACTCTTCAGGTGACGCTAGCGTAATTATCATATTGATCTCAAAACAGCAATAAATGCAATAATTTAATATGTATTTTGATACAATGAAGCACCAAATAATACAAAAAATAGATATAGGTTGCTGGTGTATGTGGTCAAAAGTTTATCCTAATAATAAAAGTCAGAAAACAAAGGTCCGTATCTTTAAAAACAAAAGTCGTGAACATAATGTCTTCAAATGTTAAACTGAGTTCTTTACCATTGTTTCATTATTTTAAAAACAAAAACAGTAGGGTTTTTTTTCTAATTTTTGCAGAACGACCCAAGCAGTATGAATTTTTTTATGAAAATCATGTGCGAGCTATTTTGAATCGTCGTTTTGATCTAATTAACACCATTTTCAAGATGGGCATCTTAATTATAAGAGAGTGGTTAAATTAAAACTTGTATCTGTTTCATATTTATGTCATCAAATGTTTACTTCTTTATTAACGTACTTGATTATTTTCATATTTTGTGCGTGATTCGGTATCATCAACAATTCATCGCATGAATGTGTGGGAGAGATGAAGATTTCTTCGCCCGTGAAAAAATATACTCCCCTCAGGAGTTCTTATGGAAGGACAACAAAAGATAAATAGGTGTAGAAAATACATACAGCTGCGATTGTATCAGATCTGATCAATTGATAAACAAAGATATTAGGACAATTTTCTTATAAATAGGTATGAAATTACGAGAAAAAGTTTCTGTTAGGATTGTCCAAACAATGTGTCTTGGGCATAGAAAAATCTTCAATCTTTAATCTTTTCAGGAGTATTCAATGAAATTTATGGGGTTTTTTTTCTTTCATAATTTCAGTTCTTTAGTTCTGTGAATTTCGGTTCAAGATGGATGAAGTAAGATGAAAGTTAGATAAATGTAAGATATCTAATTACATTTCTTAGAAATGAGAAAAAAGGAAATTTGCCAAAACTCGAAAATCTTTAATAGTTTCCCAAGTTCGAGATAAAATTTATCAAGTTCATAGGCCAAATTAAACAAAACAAATAGGGAGAAATGCATACAAGGATTTCAAAGACTATCATAGATAGGATCAGGTGCCATGGATAAGTAAACATCCCCTGTCGACCTTACATATCGCCTAATTATCTG